TAAACCAATGATATATGGTATGATTTGAGAAAATTTTTTTAGCACATTGTCAAATATATTTTTGAAAACTAAAAATTTCGGTCGGTGATTTATACACTGAAATCACACTGGAACACTAAAACCTTACTGGTCACAGATCTCTTTGATAACTCGCTTTATTTTGACTTACTGTATTTTAAATCCATAAGAAACCTGAGAAACAATCCAATTTGATATCCTCAATTTAATAGGAGGCTCTATTTCTTAGAATTCTCTGTGAATCTGCTTGTAATTTACACTGATACTTAAAACTCTACATGATAGATCTCAAGAGTTGTTTTAGATGCATTACCTTCTCTCCAACTAATTTTATAACTCAATAAAAAACATGATTCTATTTTCACTTTTTTCTGAAAAATGACCTTGAATATATAAACTTATTATTTATTTCAAACAAAATTAATTGTTTAATAAAGAGTTACTTATAACACGAAAGCTTGAAAAAACCATAGTAAACAGTAACTGTAATTATCTCCTTTTTCAGTTTTGAAGATGAACACCATATTCGTATTCCCTCACATTGTTGATTCGTTTCCATGTAGTTTTTGTTGCTGAGGAATCACAGCAGGACATGAGGGGGGTCTCTGGCGGGTAGAAAACGAGAAGTGTAGCATATTTTGAAAGGAGGTAAAGGATAACCTTAGCAGTTTCAAAGAAAATCCTAGAACATTCATCAAGCAATCAATTTGCAGCCACCTAGGAGAGCACAGATCCTGGGTGGGTGGCTGTCAGATCGCTTTGCGAAAAGGAAACTGGGCCAGAGGAAGTTAATATCCATCATGATGGAGCACGGGCCACACGGATGGACAGAGTGGCCCACGTGTCTGCAGTGACGTTCCTCTACCTGACTTCTCCTTGAGGCAGGACAAGCACTTCATCAGCTAGAGCCTGCAGAGCTCTAATCGCCTCTTAGAGCCAGTGACATGGGACCTTCTAATATGTAAACCATTTCATAATGAATCCCTTCTGGCCTTTTAGCAAATAAGTCTCTTGGGAAGAAGGCCAAGAGACCTCAGGCCTTCTCCGAGTTTATTTCTAGAGTGATTACAGTAGTGCTTAATTAAGGTTTCTGTTATCAGATAGGTGTGCAATTGGCTGGAAATATTTTCAGAGGCTTATATTCAAACTGGAAGGCATGTTAATGTTATTTTTTATTCCGTAGGTAAAAAAATAAAAAATAAAATTTTAAAAACTCCTCCTTTCTTCCACTGTAGGCTTTTTGTGATTTTCAAAGTACCCAGCCTCAAGTCAAAAAAAATCACCCAATCACATGGACAGCTAAGTTTAAGCTACCCCGGGCAAGGAGAGGAAAGTCCGTCCACATTCCCCTGCTCTGGAGATGTTTAGAGTCTTCACAGCAAAGCCGAAACAAACATAAAAGTGAAAAAAATAAAAGCCTTATTACCCAACACCCTAGGAGTAAGACTTAAACTCTATTTGGAAATTGGATTTCTTCCATATCCGATCAATATTTAATAAAGAGAGAAAAGGCGCTCATTACAAAGCCCATCTTGTTTCTCCACACGTCGTCCACGTGAGGTTCCAGAATTTCAGGGCTGTGAGTTCTTAACTGGAGCATCAGCCATGGCTTTGCAGCCGGTGAGCACGCCTCGCTTCACGAGAACCCACCGAGGCCCACATTTCTCCGGGTGTCAGGGATTTTAGTGAAGGCCGGGTCCGGAAGCCCCTTGGGGAAATACGGCAAAGCCAAAGCTCACCCCGAAGAGCAGCTGGGCTTGGCGAGAGCTGAGCGACTGTGCAAGCGCATCCTTGGGTTTTATTTCCAGTTTGAGTATTGCCGACTAGTCCGTCCCAGCCGCCGACTCACGGCGGGGAGTTTGTTCTGCGTCATCCCTCTTCTCTCTTCCTTGGCAGCACCTCTCGAGTTGAAGGGATTAGAAGGTTGTCCCCAGCCAAGCCAATATCCTGTGAGTTATAAGTGACATTTCTTCCTCACATGCAGATTTCCTGCACCGAAGTGAATTATTTACGTGGTGGAGCTCACGGGTTCCAGCGATCAGCTGCCTGAGATTCACACCTACTCTGCCCTGCTCTCCTGCCGGGAGCGTGTGCAGCTTCCCGCTGCCCGCGAAGGCCGGGCCATTTCACAGCAACGGCTCCTCCTGGCGCAGGTGCCTCCTGGCCTGAGCGGGTGACTGACAGGCCACCTGCAGCAGAAGGGAGCGTGGAAAACTGAGCCCCTGGCGGGACCCAGGGCTGCTCCCTGCCCCCAGAGGACGTTATCTGCCTGCGAATGCAAACGAGGAGAATTTAATTCTGGGTAGACCTCTCTGGCCCGTTCGAAGTAGTTTTGTAACCTTGAGTTTTAGTTAATTAGTTTAATAATTCCTCCCGAATGTGTGAAAATCCATTTTTTCCTAACAAAAGCACTGTGTCCTATAGTACGCTTTATCCTTTGGGAAATAGAAAAGTTGAACACAGAAACTCTGATGGTGAAAAGCCTCCCAATTTATATAACGAGGATGATGGAAATGTAAGTAAGAGTCCAAAACCAGACAAATCTACCAGTGAAACAAAAAGGATAGCACAGAAACCAATTTAAGTATATATGGGTCTGTAATCTATGATGAAGGTGGCATTTTAAATTAGTGAGAAAAGGACAGGCTACTTTTTTAGTATGTAGAATGAAAACAATTGACTATCCATTCGGAAAACTAAAATAAAGATTCCTACTTATAATACCACAAGCAAAAATAAATTCCTGTTAAATCAAAGACCTAAATATACAAACTAAAAACCAATAGAGTATTGGAAGAGAATATTGGGGAACATTTTTGTGATCTTTCAGTGAGAGTAAACAAAATGAAACAAGAGATAAAATGACATATTTGGTTATAAAATATTATAAACTTTTTCCTAATAAAAATCAGACTAAACAAAATTAAAAGACACGTGACAAGTGGAAAGAGAAGACACATTTAGTGCTGACTGTTAATATCTCATATTCGAAGAATCCATCTCATCAGAAGAAAACAGGAAACAGTTCCCTAAGGGGTTGAAGAAGATGTATGAGCATGAAGTACAAACGCTAAATAGTCTGTGAAAAGATGCTCCACCACACTGTTGATTAAAAGAAGATGGAAGTAGATAAGAATAAAATATTTTTTTTCCAAATCTGACTGCTAACATGTAATATATTGCTAGCGTTAATTGCTGTTGAAAGTGTGAAAAAAATAGGCGGCCTCATAACTGTTGGCAGGAACTGGTACATGGTACAGAATTTGGGGGGCAGTTTGGTACTATCTAATAAAGTCTATTTGCATTCCCTTTGACCATGTAATCTCCCTGTTATGAATCTATCAAAACATAAAATAAAAACATTACAAAGATATATATATACAGGGATGTTGACCGAGTGCTGTTTGTCATGGGAAACAGTGCCTATAGCCTAAGTATCTATCAGGGAGAGAATGCTTTAATAAATTATGATAGATTCATGAAATGGAAGGTCATACTCTCATTGCAGTCTGTGAACAACCAAATCTCCATCAATAGGGGAAGAGTTAAATAAATCGTAGTGTCGCCACTAAATTGAATATTATGTATCTGTTAAAAAGAATGAGATGGAGCTACACCTAGAGGAACAGGTGTCTGTGCCGCATCGAGTGAACGCAGCAAGCTGTAGACAACGATAGATGACATAGGTGAATATGTAGATGATTGACAGATGATTAGGCAGATCCTAGTTATCGTCTGTATGGAGTCTGTGCGTGTGCTAGTGGGAGAAAGGAACATCAGAAAATGTCTGCAGCCCGTTGTTAGTGGTGGGGACTCCTGGGAGTGAGGACTTCACCTGTGTGTGCACTCAGGAGCTTTGTTTTCATCTCGAGTGCTCGTTCTCCCTGGTGGTGGACACACACATGCACGCCCCAGTCCAGTCGGGCCACTTCTTTCCCCAGGACCACATGACCTTACATTGAACCAGAGTGTTGGGGGGAAGCCCACCTGACATCGGCAGCGACACCCCCACCTCATCTAGGCGGGGATCCATTCACTGGGTCAGAATCCCTTTGGCCCCATCTGCGCCTGGGTTCTCACCACCTCCACACCAAGAACACAGAGAACCATCTGCCACTCAGGCCGGCTGTCACGCGCCCGCTGCCCTCAGGCCACCCCTCCCCCGCTCTCTCTCTGGGCTCGTGAGGCTCGCATGGAGCCTGGCGTGGGAGAAGAGCCTCCGCCACGCTCAGCTTCCCCACGCCTTTCTGGGCTCTTTTGCCAGCTGTGTATCAGGGCGTCTGTGGTGCAGGAGGAGGATTGGAACACGGCAGCTCTTCTCTCGGGGACCCCCGCTATCTGTGCGCTCCCCTTTCCCCGTGCGCTCTGCCAGTTCCAAAAGACACAGAGGACCTTCGTCTCGCCCAGATGGGTGCGTGGCTCTTACGCACCGGCCGTGCTAACAAAGACATTTCATAGCCTGAGCAATCTGCGCTCTCTCAGTTCTAGGCTTTCGGAATCCAAAAGGCAAGATTAACTTTCGCACCCCCCCCCACACCACCCCTTTTCTGCAGGCGTCACCCATCCCTGAGCCATGAATGCAAAATACCAAAGCCACTGATGTGGCAAAGGTCGAAGGGCGTGGAGGTTGGCTTAAGATTTTAAAGAACCAGGCCACGTTTGCATACACCAAATGCGCACCGTCTCCTGGTCTTCTGATCCCAGCTCTTCGAAAACAGAAACGAAACAACAGTAAGAAACACCCTCCAGTCAAAACTATCTGGACTTCACAGTGGTAGGACGTGGAGCAGGGCCGGGCTCAGCGTGGAGAGGGAAGTGGTGGCCGCCGGTGCAGGGCGTGGCTGTGCGTCTGCCGGCCCCAGACGGAGAGGAGGGAGCTTGGGGCCGGGCTGCTGGATTCCGCCTGGGCTTCCCGAACTTGAGGTGCCAGGCCACACCGAGGCGGGGAGGCCAAGCAGCTCCCGCGCGAAGGGCGGCACCGGCAACCAGCAGGTCCCAGCGTGCGTCTCAGAACCGGGACAGAAGGAAACCAGGAGGCGGAGAGGATGCAGGAGCACCCCAGGATGAGACCGTGCTGGGGTCAAGTATCAGGATTCCAGTAAGAGCAGAGGCAAAGGGACATTCTGGGTAGAACGAGACTGGAGCGAAAAAGGAGAAAGAGAACCTGATGCTGATTGGAGCGCGGGTGTCCCCGGGAGGGCATGAAACACGGTAAGTCAAGCATTTGCCTGGTGTTGAGGGTCATGAACCTGGGCTTAGTGGGTTCGCCAGACCCAGCACCCAGAGCATGGCTTTGGGGTCCCCGTGCACCTCGGCACTGTTGTTAGGAAACCGACTTTATTGTGGTTCGAGGCACATGGAGGCCAAGACTTTTCGCTGACATGCTATGTCACAGCCACATGGGAGACTATGTGTCAGGGTGCTCGGTGACGTGTCCAAACCCTCGCACCTTCTCAGGAGACTGTCACCACACTAAGACTGTCCCCAGTTGTCAGCAGCATCCAGTGTCGGACTAGCACTCTTTCCACAAACCAGGACGATCCTGCCAGAAAAGGCAGCAGGCAGCAAGTGTTCTTAGCACGGTGGTGCTGGGATTCCCTTTCTTTCTAAACCCAATTAAGGGCAATACATAGAAACCTTGTTCTATGTATATTTTATATGGCAATTTGTTATCTCATGTAAGGGTTTGCTTTGAATTCCCTGGCATTTTTCTTCCTTCTGCTCTCCTTTCTTCCTTCCTTCCTTTCTTGTCTTTTTTTTTTTTTTAACAAAGCTGCCTACACTCAACTATTGCAGAAACTAAGAAGGTTGAGAATCCTTCTAGAAAATGTTTGTTCTCAGATGTCCTTGTCCTCTCGTGGAGAATTTGGGCTTCACCTGTTGGAGGCCAAAGGTCAGAACCGTGTTGACCTGGAACCTCATGAAGTCTTAGAGGACATTTAGAAGTTTGGATATTCTGCTATCCAAGTTCTATGCCAAGAACTAGTCACTCAGCACACAGCAGCAGAACAAGTGTAATGATTTGATTTCTTATGGCCACTGTCACCTTCATCTATTCATTTGCTGGTGATTTATGAATATCCGTACTACCTGTCTCAGTCTGCAGGAGACCTTGTATTGCTGAATGCATTCTACTGAGCAGAGAGAAATGAATGGAGCAGATGGGATTATGACTTATTTTCTAATGTGGAATTTATAAAAAGATCTTTTGTCAGACATTGCACGGTAGTTTGTGGGATGAAATTAATCCTATGAATAAAATTGCTAACCTCATCTAAAATAGGTGCTTTATTTAAAGAAGGATCGATGAGGCTTGCTAAATATTATTTTTAGTGTTGATAAAAGCTTTCCGTAATCTCAGGCTGCAAACATGGGATAAATTGCCAGTCCTGGGTGTTCCGCCAACAGGCTGGAGCTAGCTAATGACGTCACCCCGACGTCAGGGAGGTAGAGCCAGCCCTCAGCTGTCTCCAGGCCTTCGGTCCCCCTACCTCGACCTCTGAGTAGGAAAAATGTTTGCTTTTAATGCATGTGAATCTACCTTTGGACACAACTCACTGCTTTATCTCCCAAGGATCATAATGTGTGACTTAGACAGCAAGATGTTTAGCTGTGTTCACTACGGAACAAAAATCATCCCTGAGGCTATAAGGCCAAACCCCTGGGTTCTTTGTTCTTTGCCCAGTGGTTTCCTGACTTCTGGTTTTCAGGGGAACATTCACTGGTCTGCTGTTTCGGTGCTGATACTTTGCACAAGGTTCACAAATGTGGTTGATTTCACAGTTCACATACATTCTTTCTGTCTGTCGTCCTTCATACAAGGCTGGCACGGGCCTCTAGAAGCCAGTCCATTGTACGTTACTCTTTACGGCCTTGGTTTTCTCCTTCTCGGCGTAGGACTCCACAACTCCTGGCTGCTCTAAACTCAGAAATGCTGATATTGTCAAACAGTGCTAACTCCTGTGAGTATAATCCTCAACCTCAAAAAGTTCAAAAATCTGCAAAAAAAAAAAAAAAAAACTTTTAAATTTTAAAATGTGTTCATTAGATAAAAATAAACAGCAAATTTTCTTGTAACATTTTTATTATATCCATCAAAAAGAAAAAGAAAGTGCCTTTTTTCCTCTTGTCTCCTGCAGCTTTCTAAATTTGAAGTCCTCCAGGAACAAAATAGAAGTACAATAAATAACACCATATTTCTCTCTTGTGGCTTTCCTATTACGGATTTCCCCTTCTCAAGATGAAAAGAATTTTAGGGGAAATTAGATTATATAGAGCTCAGCAGATTATTGCTCACTCTTTATACAGAGCTCCACAGAGAGAGAGAAGAGTCTGTAACTTCAGCAATGAGAGCCTCTGCTTCACTCGTAAGAGTTACTCTTCCCTTTTTCTGCTCAGGAATATTCTGGAGGAGAGTTAGAGCTGCCACCCAGCCCTGCAAAATCTGCCCTGCAAGTCAAAACAGATCCAACGGTGCAAAGAACTTCTTCATTAGGACATCAAGCCTGTAGTCATATTTTTCAATCGCTGCCATAACTTTTCTCTTGCAAGTGCTTTCACTTATTTCGGGACCACCTAAGGCTCTGTGCAGTACACAGCAACACAGTTTGAGACGTTTCTGTGATGTTCTGTACATCATATAGTTGCTAACAACCTGTCAAAGTCAACCTGACACCAAACTGAGAAGCTGATGGTTTGGGTAACGTATTAGAGGAGATGAAAAAAAAAAGATAGTCCTCATTACTGTAATAAAGCCAGAAGAGACACACTGAGAATCAATTACTGATTGTGACCTAATGAACTAACCCTCAGTCAAGTGGAGAACTGCACCGAGCCTCCTACATTATCAAATGATTTAGGATGGAGCACTGTCTGAAGACGGTCAACAAGTCGAGGCAGATCCGTTTTCTTAGATTGTGGCTGACTTAATTACCTTGTTCCTGAGTGCAGAGATCAAATTGAGCAACTTAAGGTGCTAAAGCTCTGCGCCAGCTGGAAATGAAAAGGAAATAATTAACACCAACAAGAGCTACGTCTGAGGTTGTGGCACCTCCTGACAGAAGCAAGGAGACTCAAAGTTAAGGCAGGTGCAAAGTCCTTGACGAGGAGAGCCCTGCCCTGCCCGCCCAGCTGGCTTTGTCCAGGCTGCCTGTGGCAGCTGCACATTGAAAGGGTCCAGTCAGGGGAGCCAGGGATTCAGAACTCACAGTGCAGCCGGTGACCGAAGGGCAAATGCACCTGAGGACCTGTGTGCAGATGGCCGGGCTCCCTGGTACAAGTCGACGGATGACAGAGGACAACTCCTGTTCCACAGCCCACATTTGTGTGGCCCAGGGAAAAATATAGCAAAGACTATAATTAAAAACCAGCACACACACAAAGTTCTTCTCACTGATGGAATAGGTTGTCTTTGTCTTTCACATCCTGGAGTCCAGACCCCACTGTCCTGCGTCACACGGGGAGCCTGCTGGGTAAACAGTGGATAGTATTCACAAGGGAACCAGTTTACAGAAGGGCACCTGTTATCTTTTCTTGAATTAAATTCTTTGGAGCTATTTTCCATCTTTTGTCACTGTACACCTGGAGAGGTGACAAGGACACTAACCCAAAACATGGCAGGTTCTGTCATTGCCAGGCTATCGAGGAAGGAGCCTGGATATGCTGGCCCCTAATGTCACCTAAGTTCCCAGGAGCAGCGGCACCAGAGATGACAATCCAGGCTTCAGGTTCACATTCCTCAATCTTCCTGTGCAGATTCCCACCCAGAGGATGTTCCTAGGCCATGTCACTTTGTCACCTGCGCTACTCCATGGCACTTTGCAGTGGCGAGACTTGGCCCTGCTAACACAATGCTCTGTGAAGCCAGCTCATGAGCTGCTCACAAAGGGGTGAGTGGCATTAACCCCTGCACATCACCGATGAATCAGCCCCATCAGCACCACAGTTGGCATCATGACCGTGATGACACACTTCATGAAAGGCTTTAGAAATGGTGGCTCATCACTAGAAGGTGTGGCACACAAATGTGTCACAGTTGGAAGAGTGTTTGGACAACTAGACATTTGAGAAATGGTCTTTGTGGGCCACGTACTCCCCACAGGAAGTCATCAAATCTTGGGTAGGCAAGGACACCCCCAACTGCAGCCCCACACCATAAATCAGGGGCAAGGATTCACAACTCCCTGCCCAACTATACATAAGTCCCCCAAAGCAGTGCTTCTCAAACTTAAATATGCCTAAAAATGACCAAATTAACATTCTGATTCATAAATCTGAGTGGTGCCAGAGATTGTGCAATTCTAACAAGTCCCTGCTAATGCCATTGGCCTTGCCAGTCTTTTAACTATCATAGGAGTAGCAAGGCCTTAAAGCTTCTGTTCCTTCCCCCAGGGTCCTGATCCAGTAGGGCAGATGTACTAAACTCTGTAAGTACAATTGTTAGTTCTATGGGCAACTTACCACTCCAAAGGAGGTAGATGGAGACTAAGTCTCTAGAAAGTCTCTTGTTTTTAATTTGTATTCACACTTCCAGGACCAATAGACTTGGAAGTAGCTGAGTTATCATGGCAAAAGCACTGAGAACATCTTCAGACCTGGGTTTGAATCCCACCTCTGCTTTGTGCTAGCTGGGTAGACAAGTCAACTCTCATCACTGAGTTGGTTTCCTCATCTTTGTAATAAGGGTTACAATTGCTACCTCACAGGGTCATGAGAAATAAATGAGATCATATTTTAAAGTTAAAAAAAAAGTTTCTAGAAAGGATCTGGAGCACCAGGCCCCATAGCCTGCCCAGTCTTCAAGGCCCACTTTTGGGAACAAAAGCCTTCAGGGTTCTCACACAAGCAGGCCAACAGATGGTGAGGAGTAGAGCAGAATTTTCCAGGGATAGAGAGCAAGTTCTGGTCAGGCCCAGGCAAGCACTATATGGTCAAAGGCAACCCATCCAGGCCTATGTACCCTTCCCCAACCATGTGACTCCCTCAGAGTTGGTTGAGCCTGGCCAGACAGCAAGGTACAGGAAGGGGGGCGAGTAATTTTCAAATCAGTGAATTGCTCACAGATCATGAGGCAACTGCATGTCCAGATACCTTACCATACACGGACAGAAGCATTCACTAGGCTCCTTCCAGAGCTGAGGGCTGCAAAAACAATTACACACATCCAGAAACTCTATAAAGAGAGAGAAGGGATTTGGGTCTGCATCTCCCTCATTCCCTCACTAGTCTTGGTTGAATGAGAGCACCGTGTCTGGTACTGCTTCTACTGACACCAGGAACATCATTCAAAGCTGTTCTTAACATGCCACCCTGCCCTCTTGAAGGCTGGGTAATTCATTGGATTTAATATTGTCCTAAGTCTCATTCCAGGGAATGCTGCAAGAATGTTTAAAAAAAACCCACACACACAAACAAAAAAATGCGGCCATTTAAAACAATCTGTGGGTTCCATTCTATAAGACAGGTTCTTTATTGACCTATCATGGTAGCAGCCAAATAGTTCAATTACTGAATGGTCACAGGGTGCTCTGTGGTAAGGGCCACACTGTAGATTGTTTACCCTTACTTTACCCTTACATTTGGGCTTTACCAAGATTAGGGTTGAAATTCTGGATGTGAAAGGCAAGGCCCACAATGGGAGAGCATCCAGCTGGGCTCTCCCTCTTAGTTTATGCTGGGCCTATAAATACTCCTCCCCTTGGCAGCTCTTGAGTCCCTCTACTCTGAGGCTGGTTTATAGCAGGGAAGGGGTTGCTCTGGGGTATTCTTTGCTCCTGTAACAGCTATATAATAGCCCACGCAGACGTTTCCTGGTGTTGAAAATCTCTGCAATTTTCCTCCTCATGCGTTTTTAACTCTAGAATGGCTAGCACTGGAGGCATGTGCCCGCTCCCCCAGGGCCAACTACTCACATGAAAAGAAGTTTCCTTCCGTCTGGTTTTGGGTCTACTGTTTCCTGGAAATCGGCGAGTTTATTTCTTCATAGATCTGGTTCTCCTACCCACTGGCTCCCTGAATCAAACCCCCAGAGGTTTCCCCTCCAGCACTGCCTTCCCACAACACGTGATAAACTTCTGTCTTCTGAAACAACATAATCATCCATTTAAATTCCTTCCTGATCAACCTAAACTTTGACAAGTATTCTCAGCTTCTGTCTCCTTTGGGTATAAAAAGGATGAGAGTGCCTTGTGCTCAGAACAAACAATACTTCCACCTAATGATGCCACATTGACTCCTGGAGCCTGACTTCCAGAGGTCGAGACCTGGAGGCCAACTTCCACATGCCAACTTCCAGAGGCCGACTTCCAAAGGCCTACTTCCGGAAGCCGGCATCCGATACTAACTTCTAGGGATCTACTTCCGGAGGCCGACTTCTGGAGATCCAGTCCTGGAGGCAGACTTCAGGAGGCCTACTTCCAAAGGCCAACTTCTGGGAGCCGGCTTCCAATACTAACTCCCAGGGATCTACTTCCAGAGCCTGACTTCCAAAGGCCGGATTCCAAAACTAACTTCCAGGCTTTACTTCCGGAGACCAACTTCCGGAGACCAACATCCGGAGGCCGACTTTTGATACAAAGTTCTAGGGAACCTACTTCCGTAAACTGACATCCGGAGGCCCAGTCCTGGAAGAAGACATCCGGAGGCGGGCTCCCGAAGCTAACTTCCAGGCTCCACTTCCGGTGACCAACTTCCGGAGACCGACTTCCGGAGACCGACTTCCGGACCACTTTGGTCAGGCGGCAGCTTTGAGGCTGAACCAGGGGCGGCAGCCACAGGAGTGGCATTTGGGCCCGTGGTGGTCGCAGCCGGACAGCACGGCCCCGCCACGCGCTGGACACCGGCCCTGCCCGCGGTGCGGGGATTGTTCACGGACAGCAAACACGAGACGTGGGAAGCCCCCGTCCGCCCCAACACACAGGGCGGAGTCGGCAATGGAGGCCGGCGGCGCCGGAGCGTGTTCACTGGCGTGCCTGGACGCTCCCAGGTCGCAGGCACCTGCGGCTGCGGCAGCTCCGCGTTCCTACCAGCTCGCTTCAGAGAAACCGAGTGGTTCGGAAAGGTTCTCTTAAGGTATGTCTGCTTCTAAACAAATGCCACTTAAAAAAAAATTACGTTTACGGTTATTCTTGTATCTGTCACGGTAGTGCACGTAAATGTATAATAATCATAAAATATTTGCACAAGAGTAAAAGGCACAAAGAAACCAGAAATCCCTTAGGATCCCACCCTGGAGATAAATACCGGTAGCATTCTGTGGGGTCGCTTTTCAGACGTCCCAAATACCATCTCAGAATCAGCACAAGTCATGATATGAGATCTATTGAAAGTTGTCAGGCATGGACTTCAGATAATACTTGGGAACATTCTGCCTTTTCTGCTCGGGGCCTGGGTGCATTACCTACTTCTACATTTCCTACCTATCCATGCCTCGTTGGAGGAAACCATGGTGTGCCCACAAGGTCATTCTGGATATATATTTAAAATTCCTTTGGTATTTTTGTTGTTGTTGTTGTTGTTGTTTTAGACAGAGTCTCGCTTTCTAACCCCAGCTCTAGGACAGTGGTGTCATTGTAACTCACTGCAACCTCAAGTAATTCCTGGGATCAAGTAATCCTCTTGTGTCAGCCTGCCAAGTAGCTGGGACTACTGACACATGCCACCATGCCTTGCTAATTTTTAGTAGATACTCTTGAGCTCAAGCAATCATCTCGCCTTGGCCTCCTAGAGTGCTAGGATTGCAGGTGTGAGCCACTATGCCCAGATCCTAAAACTCCTCAGGAACAGCCAAAACACAAAAGTACAAATCAGCTGTCCAGTGTTCAAAAAACTCAACCATACGGGGGCCAGGCTGGCCTTTCCACTGGGTGTATGAGCAGACGGGCTCAATGCTGTGCAGATTTGGAGAAGGTCTGGAGTACCCTGACACGAGAGAGACTTGTCATCTGAAAATCACTAGGGGGCCATGGTGGCCTTCCCTAAAGCCCTCAGAGGCCTTCCTTCCTCCACAGACAGCTGGGCAACTCCAAAATATGCTTTGTTCTGGGCACAAGACCTAGTCTGGATTTTTAGTGCCATCCAGTATTTTAATTGCAACAGTACAATATTTCCTGTAATTGATAGTGGTAAATTAAAATGCATATGTAATCCCTAGAACAACCCTTAAAAAATAATGCAAGATATATAGCTAAAATGCCCATAGGAGTATAATGCAATACTAAAAATATTTGATTAACCCAACAATAGACAAGAAAGGAAGAACAGAGGCTCCAGAAGAGGCAGGCGATAGAAATGAAGACCATACAAAATGGTAGACCTGTGTCAACTGTATGAAGGGGTGGTGGTGGTTTCCTACTGCTGCTACTTCTGAATTGCTTCACTGTTCCCTATTTGTCTTCTTAGTTCTTTACTCACCTTGTAATCAAGTCCTTGCATGAAATCTCCTGTGTTTTAAATATTAGAGTGGTTTTGTTTTTTCTGATTTGATCCTGAGTGATATATACCCCATGCTAAGGGATTATTTAACTGAATGATGATCTGATTGTGAAAAGGAATATAATTCAGTCAGTAAAACTGATGTAGGGAAATAGAAAATGATTGGGGAACGCATTCTGGGGACAATATAGCTAACAAAACAGTATGCTCATTTGATAGTAACTTCTAGGATTTACCCACATGTTGATTGTGGGTGTGAAGGTTACAAAAATTTCCGTTCTCATCTTTGGAGTTTTCTCTACTTTCAACATTTCCCCTTTACCTTTATGTTTCAGAAGTTTGGCTATGATGTGCCCAAACAAATTCTGAACAAATGCCACTTGTTAAAAAAATTACATTTATAGTTTTTATCTGTTTTCCTTGATTTTCTCCTGCTTTATAATCACTGAGTTTCTTGGATTTATAAATTGATGTTTTACATAAAATTTAAGTTAAAAGGAAGCCCAGACTCTTTAGAAAGCCATGAAAAATGCTTTAAACTCCATCTGAATCTGTGGCTTTGCTTCCGACCATCCTATCTCATGTCTCCTGTATTCTGCTCTCCAAGTATGATGCCTAATTTCATGCCTCTCTGCTTCTGCTTCTGCTATAATTTCTACTGGGAATGGCCTTTCTCTCAACCCAGTGTTAACTTACCAATATCCTTCTCATACACCAAACATCGGTTCGAAGTTCTCCTTTTCTGCAATACTTTCCCATAAAACCTCTGGCAGTGTGATATCTTCTTCTCTCCTCCCCCAACACTTTGATTTTTGTCTTTATTTACCACATGAAACACATCATTGTAATTATTTTTTGCATCTGTTCTTCCATCTGACATTTATCAATGACAAGAATTCTCTCCTGCTCTCTTTGTAGTCTTTCTACCTAGCACAATGCCAGTCACATCATAGGTGTTCAGTGAATGTTTATAGACCGAATGAATAAATGAATGAGTTGAATTTATTTAAGACAATAAGCTAGTGTTTCTAGGGCCCTTGGTAAAGAGATCCTCGAAGTTTAACTTGATGATGAATACCACTGTTTAGATTTTGATCGAGGACATACAGGTTCCTGAGAAATCTTCAGGGAAAAGCTCTCAAGTTTCTGAATGGAGGCCAACAGTGAGTTTTAAATCTGTGATAAGTGTATAAAAGTAGAAGCAGTCTTTTTTATTATATATTACCTCCCCAGTCATTAGGAAATCATTTTATATTCATTGTGATAACACCAGTCATTAATGTACTCATTTGGCATTCATATGACTCTCTTATGCACTTCCATAGGAATTCTGTTGTAATTAACTATTAGTTAATGTTAATAGTAATGGATGTTTAAAATAATGTGCTACCAAATAGGGTCACTGACAGCAATGGGATCAATGTATTCATGCGTGAGGGATGGGAGAGCAATCCCCTATAGTGTGAAAAATTCTTGAGATGATACAGTGGAGTTTGAGATACTGTATAAACTCAACAGCCTTTTTTAGCCCAAGATGGGAACCCAGGAATTTTGACCATCTTTTTTTGAGAGTACTTGATTTAAATTTAAAAGAAAACTTCTGAAACTGAATTTAAAAGACAACCTGGCCTTTGATTCAGCATTTTTCTTTCAATTTATATGCAGATTAACTATGTCCTAAATTATCTGTCTGTTATTTGCCTCATTTACAAGTATTTTTCTGTTATATAACAAATCTGGTTTTCCTAAATGATTGTTCCAGAAAAAGGATTGGGAGCAATGTCAAAATGAAATGTATATTCATCCTCAAATCAAAGAAGTGACAGACCTGTTAAGAACAGTAGTTTGTTAAAGGTGAGTTACTGAGCTGTACCTTCAAATAAGGTCATTTGAAATGCAAAATGAAAATCACAGTCTGAGCTTCATGGATTTATTAGGCTTAGGTGCACTTAATGAATTGCTGATGGGGGTGGAGCCTGTTTCCTCCAGAACATGTGTGGCTTCCTTTCCTGATGTGGCCCTTGCCATTATAAATACCGGCGATGACAGGATTTGACTTAGCAGGTATCAAGTTTCAATCATCCATCTCATCCCTCCAGGTTTGGTGCCCAAGGTCCTTGAACATAATGTGCCCCTTTCATGAACAGAGACCCCCCAGGAAGAAGAAGAAATGCCCAGTAGAAGGAAATCTGGAATCATGTAGCTGTTTGAGTGCTGGGGCTCTGCAGGAGTTTCAGCCACAGAGGTCTTGGTGATTTTTCAGAGCATCTGTGACTGTGCACCCTGTGAGCCGTCACTGGCCTTGTACTCATGGAAAGAAGTTAGGCTAAGACCAGTATGACCACTTTGTCCCTAAAACATGACTCCCGTCTGCATGAGGATGCCTTGTAAGTCTACAGGCAACGAGATGAGTTCCTTAAATGACTACTTCACCTTACTCTACAGTCGGATGTGAAGTTCAAATATTTACAGTAGAGGCAACACATTGACCCTCATCTCATACAATTGGGAAACCCATTGATTTCTGGGCCTGAGAAATAGTTGTGTTTGGTTTGGAAGAGGAGGTGGAGAAAGGTTTGAGCACTAAACGGGAAAGTGAGAGAATAGCCCCAGAGGAGCAAGAGCAAAAGAGCCAAGAGTGACACAGTAAGAACCACCTTGACCTGTCAAGTGCTGCTTCATGCAGCTGGGATCTCAGCACTGCCCCTCTTCCTAGGTGACAGCTGTCAGGACAGCCTTGGGGGCTGGAGGGTGCCTGGGGTGGCTCCATGACCAGGAGTTGCTGCCAGAGGAGGGGAGCAGCAGCCATGGCACTCGGGTTACCTAGGCAGGATGCACAGGTGTGGCACCACATTTCTAGGAAAACGAATGTGGCCTGTGTCTGACAAGGGCAGGTGGGCACTTAGTGCAACAGAACTGAGTTGGAGGCGTCTGGGCTGTCAGTGCCTGTGCAGCAGTCCCAGCACACATTGTCACCACTGGCTTGACTCCCCTCTCCCTCTCTGCCTAAGAGGTAAATCTGTGTTTCTGCTCTTTAAAAGTCCCCCTTCATGGAATCTATTGCATTTTGGTCACCACCAATCCACATTAGCACTTAAAATCCTAGAATGTCAAAGCTGGACAGGCCTCAGGATGGTCTCGTCTAGCTGTTGGATATTCCTGATGCAGAAGCTGAGGTGCAGAGTGGGACATGAACACCGTTGGTACCGTGGTCATCTGCGTGTACCCCAGTGTGGCTCTGTGGGTGTCATTGTACTGGGTTCTCTCACCGCAGCCAGGTTGCCTATTCTTCAAGAATGGGGCATCGTCCAAATGGTGAAGTGAGAAGACTATCGCCTGCCATGTTAGTCCAGGTGTTAAGAGTAAGAGACAAGGCGGTGACAAACTGTGGAAAGCACATCGGAGCTGAAGCATGCAGCTGGGCAGGACCCATGCGGCCCTCTCAGCCCTCCCAGCATACCGCCACGCCCTCACAGGCATTACGAGGTGCCACGTGTGGGCCACGCTGTTTCCTGGCCTTGAGCCTCGGCTCTTCACTGCCCGCTTCCTCCGTAGTCCAGCCATGGCTCGGCAGCAGGAACAGAATTCTACCAGTGTTTGTCCCTTTAAATTCCATGCAGCAAGAAACTCCACACACGATCCACCTTAATCATTAAAGGGCTTCATCTTGCCTCTACCCTACCATGTCTATAAAAACCATAAAGTAGAAATCTTTAATTACTCGGAAAGGTCAGGCTTCAAATTGTATATTTAATCTGGATTTAAAGGAGTATGCTCTGTGAAGAGTTATGCCGCGGTGTCTAAACACCTGCTGCTTCCATTTTTCAAGACACACAGGCGCTCACAGGCACAGACACACAAATAAACCAGCTCAGCTTAGCACCGGCCGCCTTTCCATTCAGAACCTTCTTTTAGCATTGAACTATTCCAGCACCTGTCAGAAGACAGGTGACTCTTCATAGATAGCAATAGCAGTAGCATCAATAGAGGCTGTTTTCACTTACATTGATCACGAACGTGGAAAGTGGGGGATACTGAGGCTAAAATTTCCGAGAACACCTACCTCCCTGACTTTCTTGTTTTCTTCTCCTCCTTCTCCCTTTTGCCCTCCCTTTGCTTTCAGATGAAATTCTGTTAGGCAGGCTCAAGAGGTGTAGGAAGACAGTGGCCAGGAGCAGCTGATGCTACCGGGGAGAATGTCAGGCGGGCGGAGAAGGAGCAGGCGCAGTCTGCTGGCCCCGTGCAGGAGAATGAGTGCGTGAGTTAACATGTCATCGCATATCAGTATGATAGGAGCCAGTGTCCTGACCCCTGGGGAAGAAAGGTGCAGATATGGAAAGGGACAAAGCTATAATGAACCCGTGGTGTCGGATTCAAATTAGAGTTATTGGTGCACACTCAGGGTCTTAGATAGATTAGGCAGGCAGGTGGATGGATGGACAGGTAGATATAGAAAGAGATACAAATATGGGTTTGTACACACCTGCATTATGCATATGCACATATATATTCATACTAACATGCATTTTCTAGCATTGAGGGCCTGGGAGCAGCATTAGTACAGTAGCAGTGAGTACACCTACCAGTTAGTTCTTAGTTTTTAAATATGACTCTCCGCTAAAACGACAAAGATTCCTTGAAGAAACAGCTGGTATGAAAATTGAGTAGGGAAAGTGCAAGATGCGCTTAGAATCTATTCTTGTGGCAGAAGGAAAGGAATTGCCCAAAGAATAAGGACACGTCAAAAGGACATAGCAATAATCTTCAGGGCTTTACTACTGGCCAAAGCTGGGACAATTTTAGAGTCAAAACAAATAATGGTAGTAAAGGGACTATAACCCATTGGACGAAGTAGTAATTATTGTGTCCATATGGGTATAAATAAATGGGGGAAAGATAAATCTCTTCATAGTAGTAAAAAGCCAACTAATAATGCAGTAACATTGCTGTAATTTAAAAATCACGGTTTGGCAACTGTCATGATGGTAATTAATTCAGGTGAGAACGATCAATGGATGCTGAAACCAGAATGAAAGCGGCCGGAGAAAGGCTTTTTCACGCTCTCAGAGCATCTCCCCACAAAACACCTGGTACTCACAACAAAGGGGATAACGTGAGTTTTCGGTGGAGGAACTTGGCAGGGTGACTGCACCCGCAGTGGACAGACCTGCGTCCTGTCCCCCGAGAGGATGCAGTGGGAAGGACACAGCACGCGACTTCTGCTGCTCCAGCCACAGGTGCGCAGCCTGGGCCCACCCATGGGCCAACACCAGACAAGTCCAAACTGAGGGACAGTCTACAGAAATAACTGGCCTGTCATCCTCAAAACTGCCAAAGTTATGGAAGTTGAGGAAACTGTTGCAGATTACAGGATACTGGAGAGATGAGATGGCTGGGTGCAACCTGTGATCCTGGACTGGGTGCATGGGGCACCAAGGGGACAGTTGGTAAGCGCGCAAGGGGTCTCTGAGCAGTGGGTACAGGGACATTCTTTGTACTATTCCTGCAACTTCTCTGCGAGTTGAGTTGTTTTAAGTAAGGCACGACTCCTGCAACACAGGCTGAAGAATCTGCGAAGAGAATAAATACTGCAGCAAGCATTGTCCCAGTGTTTGTCCCCACCTCAGTGAGCTTGGTTCTGCTGTGATGATTTCACAGAAGTGTTTTTCTGTGAAAGGAGACACAGCGAGGGATACTCAGAACTGATAGAATAATATCTAGGTTGACAGCTCTTCCTACTTACTAACAAAAAGCGGAAGCAGTTTAGCAATGTGAGCCTGGCGATGAGCTTGTAATTTTTGCTTTGCTGCTGGCTTCCCACTTGCCACTGGACAAAAGGGAAGGTCCTCTCTCCTCCTCAACAAACATCGATGGCTCCCATTTGCCAATGGAATAGAGTCCAAACTGTCTAGCCCAGGATTTGGGCCTCTCATTAACATGGCCCGGGACCTTCCATTATAGATTAAACTCCCACTGCCCATCCAGTCGCAATTGCCACCACGCCATGCAGTATATCCTTCAAAAATCCTCAGCACTTGATGCCTTCCTCATGAAATTTTCTCCAAGCTTGTCATTATTATTATTATTATTATTATTATTGGATTATCATTCCGTCTGTTCACTCCCAGCACACTGCCTGCACAGAACTTACATGGTACTGTTCTTTCATACGGTAAGTTGCTTACTTGTTTGTTCCACTGCCTAGATTCTGCACCCTGGAGGACTTGTTATTTATTAAGGTGATTCCATAGGCCATGGTCACTTTGTATAGAAACTATTAGATATGAAAATATATATTCAGTGGGAATTTATTGAGCATCTGCTATATCCTGAGAAGCACCCAGTACAGTTCTCAGGATTTAATAAAGTCCTACCAAATACATATGTTTCCATTTCTAAGAGCTTCTGTGTAAAAGGATCGTGGTCAAACACTTGAGAAATCGTTGGCCTCTGAAACAGGGAGATTTCTTAATGCACAAGCACAAACACACATTGACTGAGAGTTACACAAACTACATAGAGGAACTTTTCACTTGAGTAAACCAATAGACGGTCAAATGATTAGTAGCACTCATCACTTGTTTTAGTGTTTACAGGGCACAAAATATTAAAAAGTCTAAAACAATAGATGCTGGCGTGGATGCAGAGAGAAAGGAACATTATACACTGTCGGTAGTACTGCAAACTAGCACAACCTCTAGGAAAACAGTATGGAGATTCCTCAAAAAACTAAAAGTAGACCTACCATTAGATCCAGCAATCCCACTACTGGGTATTTCCCAAAGGAAAAGAAGTCATTTTTTCAAAAAGATACACGTACCCGAATGTGTATGGCAGCACAATTCACAATTGCAAAGATGTGGAATCAACCCAAATGCCCATCAATTCATGAGTGGATTAACAAAATGTGGTATATGTATACCATGGAGTACTACTAAGCCATGAAGAAGGATGACTTAATGCCTTTTGCAATAATATGGATGGAATTGGAGACCATTATCCTAAGTGAAGTATCTCAAGAATGGAAAAAACAGACACCACATGTGCTCACTATTAAGGTGGAACTAACCGATGAGCAAACATCTGCATAGAGAGAATTAAAACTCAGTGGAAACCAAATGGGGGGGAGGGGGGAGGAGGGGATGGGTGAAAACTTACCTAACAGTACAATGAACACTGTGACGGCACACTTATAATCCTGACTCAAGCATTACAAAAGCAATCCATGTAACCGAAAACATTTGTACTCTTGTAATACTTTGAAATAAAAAATAAAAATACACTAGGTACAAAAAAGAAAAAAAAGTTCATTTCCATACACTCTAATGTGGTTACTTCTTTGTGCTTCCTAGGCTTAGTATTAGTAACAAGGAAAGGGAGATAAGAAAGGTGAACTTGGCTTTCTATCCACCATGAATCACTGACCTGGCCTCACTAACACACCTTCATTGGTTTGAATTCCATTTCAATGCCAATGCTTAACGTACAATGAGGAGCCTCAGAATAACTGAGTTTACATGTGTTTGTAAGTATTGGTAGCTGATAGAGGGATGAAGTTATCTAAATAAAGTATTTGAGTTTTTCCTCCTTTTTTTTTTGAAAATAAATACAGTATTTGAAAATGTCAATACAGTACCATGAGATATTTCAGTTAAAGCAAGCTTGGAAATGCAGAACCTACTCACCCAAGGAGAAAGACATTCTTTTTTCTGTGCGAGTAGAATACATTCCTGTTCTCCTCCGTTTTACAACTTGTCTGAGGATAGGAGAGAATCTCAACAGTCGGTAAACGGCTTGTCCTCAGGGCTCCTGCCTGGGAAGTGGTACTGAGGCGACTTTGTCCAGTCTGGAAGGGTTTGCCCCTTCAGGAACTACACGTCACTAACTGGGACACAAAACATGCAAGTCTGATAGTAAACCTCACTCTCTAGTAACTGGTATCTTTGAAAAATATTTTTTAAATAATTTGTTTAGGGATGGGATAGAAGTTATATCAGCATTATCTGTACAAATAGTATAAAGAGTAGTTATGTTAAAAAGGAGGTTCACTAATCAGGATTTGTTTAAAAAACTATTTTCAGGCATTCAGAAACACCGAGTCTCCAGACAGCATATTCTGAAACTGGATGTTAGGGAAAGCAAGGAGGTGAGTTCTTGGCAGAGAGGCTCGTGGAGGCGTGCAGGTGAAAGTGACAAACTTGCATTTCCTCTGAGACCTCCCTACCCGGGTGGTCCGAAGACCAGCAAGAGTGGCATTGCCTGGGAGTTGGTTGAAACTCACAGTCCCAGACCCACTAATCATGTCAGGGATGGGCACGTGAAAGCTTGTGAGGCACTGCTCCATGCTGAATGACAGAGGTTCGGCTCCACTCATTGTTAAGTAATAGTAAGAAAAGTCTGTGGTCCATCCATGATGTTGGCCGTTCTCCCCAGGATCACTGCACACAGTTCAGAAGGGCAGGAGATCTCCTCCAGCCCCATCACAGATTCTCTTGCACTAATTAAAGATTCATTAAACTCGTAGGATGTTCTAACTGCTTCCACAAATGGATGTTGAGAGGCTGCTTAGATACTTGAGCAGGGAAAACAGCCCCAGCTTGCTCTGCTCCTCTCCTGTAGAAGGCCCCGTCTTCAGCAGAGCCCAGCGAACGCTGACGTGGAAAGAGAAGGAAGTTGTCCAAGTTGGCCCCGGCAAGCAGTGGTGGCAACTCACTGCCACACCCCAGTTCGGTTTCATTCAGCAGTTGACGTACTCAAGGAATTTCGACATGGAGCCACTGATGACCACACTGGTCACACTGCAGCCCTTATCTAAAAGTCGAATCTTTCTGTTTGAAACACTGCTAGCTTTACTCACAACTCATTCTGAAAATTAATCTTCAGCATGATTTCTCAAGTAGCGTCTTCATATTTTTATTCAGGAAAGGGGAGAAAATTTATCTCTCCTTCCTAAAAATTTAACACACACAAATAACACAAAGAGTCCCTGTCTCACGTCGTAGCTATCTATTATAACCGGATATTTTTCTTTTATTAAATTCATGGTATGCTTTCTGAAATAATGAGCTTTTCAATACAGAAGCCCCAAAATGGTGTGGTAAATTAATCCCCAGGTTGCGGAATGCCCAACAGAACAAAGAAGAAAGTAGAGGAAAAAGAGTTAGCAGGATGCCAGTCTTGAGATGCAGAGGCTCATCTGTTGTCATACTGAAAATCACAGGGGCAAACTGAAAGCCACTAACAACATTTCTGTTTGTTTTCACGGCTAAACAGGACATTTGAAATATACATGAATCTATCAGACGTGAGCAATCAAACCCTGAGTTGCGTAGTGTTATTGATTAAAACACGACTACAGCTTGGTAGCAACAGCGTCCCAAAACCATTACCTGGGCCAGGATATTTTCAGAAGAAAGAGAATAACACAACTATGTGTTATCTGGACGGGACACTTGCTAGTACAACCCCTGGAGGCAAGGGCCATGGCCACCAACAGCTAACAAGCGTTCTGCAGATTCCAGAGATAACAGCTTTAAAGAAACCATCATGGACATAGGGAAGAACTTTTGTTTTGTAACAGACTGACATAAATACAACCCCTGGAGAAGACTCAGACTGTATCTCCATGATCCTACAATCCACAAACTAACACCAGGGCTGGTTTTTCCTGTATTTGGACTGCTGTGCTTTTTTGATGTATTCATTTATCCTATTTTATTGATTAAAATTGTATCCTTCTGACTTGCTTTGGGGGTGGTTGCTCCCTCATAGCCTCTTGATTGACTTGCAAGCTATCGAACACCAAATGCTCTGCCTTCTAGTCCTTGTTTTCTGGACCTTTCCGGTCAAGCATCGGCTACGTTTTGCAAGCAAACGCAGGCTGGTGGGACCTGGATAAGACATCGTCTCCTTCCAGGTTTGGACTGCATTTGCTATGGTGAGAACTCAAATTTCTGGAAGCTGTCACCTCCCGACTGACTTCTTGGTTTCTGTTTTATTTTCCAATTTAATGTGCACACATATGTCTCAGGGTTGCCATGAGGAATTGGCAACAGCGGCAGCCTTCCAGGGCAGTGCCGGTCAATAACTGGGGACACAGAATGATCGGGCAGTTGACCTTGTGCCCCCGCCCATTTGAGACCATGCTGAGTCAGGTGGGGGCGCAGCTGGCACCATGCCCACCCGGAGCCCGAGGACACACAGCGCTTGCTGGAGTGGGCCTGGCAATAGGCAGGAAGGCCCAGCAGGGACCACTGGAGGAGGACAAAACACAAAGGAGAGTGCAGGTGTCCCCTGGGAAGGGTGCACAACCTTTGCCACCTGCCACCACCTGTGGTGAGGTGCCGCAGGGACCCCCGCAGGTGCCCAGGCAGCAAGGGCAAAGGCGTGCAGCCACGGCACTCACTCTAGCCTGGACAACAAAGCGAGACTCTGTCTCAAATAAAAAAAAAAAAAAAAAAAAAAAAACTATTTTCAGGCATTCAGAAACACTGAGTCTCCAGACAGCATATTCTGAAACTGGATGTTAGGGAAAGCAAGGAGGTGAGTTCTTGGCAGAGAGGCTCATCGAGGCGTGCAGGTGAAAGTGACAAACTTGCATTTCCTCTGAGACCTCCCTACCCGGGTGGTCCGAAGACCAGCAAGAGCGGCATTGCCTGGGAGTTGGTTGAAACTCACAGTCCCAGACCCACTAATCATGTCAGGGATGGGCACGTGAAAGCTTGTGAGGCACTGCTCCCTGCTGAATGACAGAGGTTCGGCTCCACTCATTGTTAAATAATAGAAAAGTCTGTGGTCCATCCATGATGTTGGCCGTTCTCCCCAGGATCACTGCACACAGTTAAGAAGGGCAGGAGATCTCCTCCAGCCCCATCACAGATTCTCTTGCACTAATTAAAGGTTCATTAAACTCGTAGGATGTTCTAACTGCTTCCACAAATGGATGTTGAGAGGCTGCTTAGATACTTGAGCAGGGAAAACAGCCCCAGCTTGCTCTGCTCCTCTCCTGTAGAAGGCCCCGTCTTCACCAGAGCCCAGCGAACGCTGACGTGGAAAGAGAAGGAAGTTGTCCAAGTTGGCCCCGGCAAGCAGTGGTGGCAACTCACTGCCACACCCCAGTTCGGTTTCATTCAGCAGTTGACGTACTCAAGGAATTTCGACATGGAGCCACTGATGACCACACTGGTCACACTGCAGCCCTTATCTAAAAGTCGAATCTTTCTGTTTGAAACACTGCTAGCTTTACTCACAACTCATTCTGAAAATTAATCTTCAGCATGATTTCTCAAGTAGCGTCTTCATATTTTTATTCAGGAAAGGGGAGAAAATTTATCTCTCCTTCCTAAAAATTTAACACACACAAATAACACAAAGAGTCCCTGTCTCCATCGTAGCTATCTAATTATAACCGGAGTATTTTTCTTTTATTAAATTCATGGTATGCTTCTTCTGAAATAATGAGCTTTTCAATACAGAAGCCCAAAAATGGTGGCTGGTAAATTAATCCCCTGGTTGCGAATGCCCAAACAGAACAACAGAAGAGAAGTAAGAGGAAAAAGAGGTTAGCAGGATGCCAGTCTTGGAGATGCAGAGAGGCCTCCTGTTGTCCATTGCTGAAAATCACAGGGGCAAACTGGAAAGCCACTAACGACATTTCTGTTTGTTATCACGGGTAAACAGGACATTTCTGTGATTGGATCTATCAGACGTGAGCAATCAAACTCTGAGTTGTGTTGTGTTATGAGTTAACACTGGGCTCTAGGCTTGGTAGCACCAGCGTCCAAACCATTCCTGGCCCAGGTATTTTCAGAAGAAAGAGAAGTCCCTTGTGTTATCTGGACAGGACACTTGCTAGTCACAACCTGGAGGCATGACCATGTGCCACCAACAGCTTTAGACATTCTGGCAGATTCCAGAGATAACAGTTTACGAACATCATGGACATAGGGAAGGACTTTCTGTTTTGTATCAGGATCTGCATTTACAACCCTGGAGAAGACTCAAACTGTATCTCATGAGCCTAAATCCCCAACTCTAGCCAGGGCTGGTTTTTTTCCTATTTGACTGCTGTGCTTTTTGAATGTATTCATTTTATCCTATTTTATTTGATTAAATTGTCTCCCTTCTGACTTGCTTTGGGGGTGGTTGCTCCCTCATAGCCTCTGTTGATTGCAAAGCTATCAAACACCAGGCGAAGACCAACCCCAGATGCTCTGCCTTCTAGTCCCGTTTCTGGACCTTTCCGTCAAGCATCGGCTACGTTTTGCAAGCAAACGCAGGCTGGTGGACCGTGGATAAGATATCGTCTTCCTTCCAGGTTTGACTGCATTTGCTATGTGAGACTCAAATTCTGGAAGCTGTCACCTCCCGACTGACTTCTTGGTTTTTTTTATTTTCCAATTTAATGTGCACACATATGTCTCAGGGTTGCATGCAGGAATTGGCAAACAGCGGCAGCCTTCCAGCAGGTCGCGGTCATAATGGGGACACAGAATGATCGGCAGTGACCTTGGTGCCCTGCCCCGTTTGAGAGCCATGGCTGAGTGCAGGTGGGGGCCGCAGCTGGCACGTGGCCACCCCGGAGCCCAGGCACGCACAGCGCTCACTCGAGTGGGCTGAGGTAGGCAGGAAGGCCCAGCAGGGACCAGCTGGAGGACGGACAAACAAGGAGAGTTCAGGTGTCCCCCCTGGGAAGGGTGCACACCTTCACCTGCCACCCTGGGTGAGGTGCCGCAGGACCACAGCAGCTGCCCAGGGCAGCAGAGGCAAAGGCAGCGCACCTGTCTGTGACACGCCTCCTCCGCGTCAGTGTGCGTGCGGTCGCTGATGAAATAGCACAGGGAGAACACCCCGCCTGGGATGCGGGGAGTCTCGCTCTCGGTGCTCAGTTGGGGATATTAGAAGCCAGTGACCGACGCAAGGCCCTCCCGAGAGATTTCTTACCTGTCTCATGTGATCAGACCCTCAGGTCCTCCCAAGCTCTCTGTCTGACCGTAGTTTCTTCTAACCCCATTGTTTCCTCGTGGTGGTTTTGAAAGTCGGGCCTGGTTTTCGGTTGGCCTCCTGATGGCTCAGCTTGTATTTCATTGTTCTTTCTCTCTGTAGAGAGAAGATCAAGGCCAAGCTGGGCTGGGCCAGTCACCAGGAAGGCCCACGGTTGAGAAATGGCCATGTTTTTAGGGTTTTGACATCTCATTGCTTCTTCTGTGCCTTTGGCTGCCTCGGTGGTCCCCTCAGCCCCAGCAGCACAGCCCCGGGTCGGGGGGGCCTTGGCGGCGGGTTCCCCCCCCCTCCAACATTTGTCAGGCCGGATTCCGGAAGGCTCGGTATGACAGTTCCAGGGTTTCTGTGAGCACGCTTCTGCAGAGACAAGAACGAGCGACACACTAAGTGACGATCAGCCGGACAGAAGTGAATCTATCAGTGCTGGCCAAAAGACGGCAGGCGCGTGGGGCAGGCGGGAGACGGGGGAGGGGAAGGCGCCCTCTAGCCGCAAGGAGCCCGGTGCTGGGCTGAGCCGCGGCGATCCGCGTGGCCCTCTGCGTGGCCGTCCTGGTCAAGGCGACTTGCAGGCCGTGTTTCTGCGAGCGGGGTGGGTCCACCCTGGAAACACCCCCCTGAATGATAGGAGACTTTTCCCTTTCAGGAATGGGAATATTCCTAGGACGCCCCGCACCCTGTCTGGGAGATGCGAAGCCACGGTACGGGCAGGACAACAGAGAGCCCGAACTCACACTCACGGCGTGAAGGGACGCTGGGGTGCCGCTGTGGACCTTCCACCGCCAGAAACAAAACCAGCAAGAAGCTGATGTGGCCCGTTTGTGTAAAAGGCAAAAAAAAAAAATGTTTGCTGAAGCCAAACACCAGGCAACAGGGGTGTGAGAGGTGGTTTCCTAGTGGCAGAAAATAGGCCTCCCTGACAAACCGTGCACTGATTGATTTAAACTTTCCTCCCTCTTTGTGGCAAGAGGGA